ACCCCAGTTCTGTGTGAATAAATAAATAAATCTTTAAAAAAAATTATAAAACGTTCTAAAATGAAGAAGGAATTGAACATGAAAATACAAGAAGCTAAGAGGATACCAAACTATATAAATAGAAGAAAATCTATAGCAATATGTAATAGTAAGCTCCCCAGAATTTAAGATTATAAAGAACACTAATTAGACTAACATTATACTTCTCTAAAGAAAGAATACAAGCAAGAGATGAATGGGCTTACATATTTGAAATACCTCAAGGTAAAACAAAATGCAGCCAAGAATGCTTTATCCCGCAAAGTTCTCCTTCCTATATGAGTGAGAAATAAGGACCTTCTAAAACAAACAAATCTTCAGGAGTTTGCAGATACTAAACCTCTATTAACCAAGAAATATTAAAAGGACCTTTAAGATTTGAACCAAACAGAGGAAAGTACACAAAGTACTGAGAAAGTAAACAAAATATGAACAAAACTGTAGTAAAAGACTTCCACACCTTAGTAATTATTCGTAATGCAAGTGGACAAACCTCACAGTATATCACCTTGGATTAGGAGATACAATCTAACTTTATGATGCCTAAAGTTACATACCTATGTTCCAAAGGAAAACATAATTAGAAAGTAAACTGTTGGAAAGTAATTATCTGGGAAAATGGTAACAAAAGTGAGGCAGGGACAGCCATATTTGCAGCTGATAAAAGATTTTCAGAGAAAGAAATGGCAAGATGGTGGCACAATGAAGAGGCTGAAATCACTATGCCCAACCTCACACAGGAATATAAAACTGAAAACAGACTGTAGACTTACATAATATGAGTTTCAACCCAAATGAGAGTACCCTCGACTCACCAGAAGGAAGATAACTGAGGGAGACTCAGTGATTGGGGAGCTAAGATAGGGGAGCTCTGATCTGGGAGCACCCAGGCTCCCAGGTATTAGGAAGTGTGGTGGGCCTCAGGCAATTTACCCCTTGCTAAAGCCCCGGAGGTGCAGAGGGAAGGACTGCTCAGCTTGGTGAGTGGATCCCAGACTGGGGGAAAGACTGCATCTCTGATTGTGGAGCACCCACACGCTAGACAAAGCCTCCCACAGCTCAGCTCCAGAACGGGCAAAAGTAAAGATGCTGAAATCACAACATCCAAGCTCACACAGGAATATAAGACTAAAAATGGACTATAGATTTACATACTATGAGTTTCAAGCCAAATAAGAACACCCTGGACTCACTAGAAGGAAGATAACTGAGGGAGAATCGGCAATAGGGGAGCTCTGATCAGGGAGCGACCAGGTGCCGAGGTGCTAGGAAGTTAAGTGCCTCACAAGGAATCCAAATAGGGAAAGAAGAAGTAAAACTGTCCTTATTTGCGGACAATATGTTAATCTACATGGAGATAAAATCAATACACAAAAGTCAGAGGCCTTCCTATACACAAACAACCAATCAGAAAAAGCAGAAATAAATAAATAAATAAATATCCCCTTTTCAATGAAAACAAAAATAATCAAATACATGGGAATCAACCTAACAAAAGTGGTAAAAGACCTAAAAAAAAATTACAAAACACTCTTGAAAGAAATTCCAAATGACACCATGAAATGAAAAGATATTCCCTGCTCATGGATCGGGAGAATTAACGTCATCAAAATGGCCATCCTACCAAAAGCGATATACAGATTTAATGCCATCCCAATAAAAATCTCAATGACATTCTTCAAAGAAATAGAAAAAATGTTGATGAGATTCATATGGAACAACAAAAGACCTCAAATAGCCAAAGCTCTCATGACTAGGAAGAAAGAGTATGCAGGCATTACAATCCCAAACTTCAACCTATAATACAAACCCATAAAAATCAAAACTGCATGGTACTTGAACAAGAACAGACATACAGACCAGTGGATTCGAATAGAAAACCCAGATATAAACCCACAGGTTTACGGGTAGCTAATCTTTGACCAAGGATCAAAGAAGATACAGTGGAACAAAGAAAGTTTGATCAGCAAATCATTCTGGGAAAACTGGGAAGCTACATGCAAAGAAATGAAACTAGATCACTACCTCACATCATATACAAAAATCAACTCGAAGTGGATTAAAGACCTAGACATAAGAACGGAAACCATAAAATAACTGGAAGCAAAGATGGGCCAAACACTGCACGACATACACTTCAGCAATATCTTTAAAGATACAGCACCCAATGCAAAGATAGTGAAAGCAAGGGTAAATAGATGGGACTACATCAAGTTAAAGAGCTTCTGTACAGCAAAAGAGACATTACAGAAGACAAATAGGCAACCCATTCATTGGGAAAAAATTTTCTCACACAAAACTAGTGATAAAG